GCACCTGAGAAAACAGCAACTTCGCCTACCCCTTGTAGCCATTACACAACGCGCACGATTGTAATATTTCTCTGAGCGTAACCCCACTTCCCAGCAAACTTTCATGCACGCACGCTCGAATATGTGCTGGTGCGCTGAGTTCACAACCTTTAAGGGGAGACACTGGTCCACAATTTTTTGTTTTGTTTTGAGTATAAAATTTATACAGTATGCATTTTCACAGCTGAAAATGAATATGCAGGTAGTTTTTGGCTGTCACTTCCAGACTTTAAGATATTGGCTGTTTCATAAACTTACATTCTGCAAGACTGCTTTCACATTATAAGACTGCCACGAATTTGATATGACAGCGTTCTTAAAGACCAGGGAGTGCAAGGAAACTTTAATTTTATTTTTAGCTTCAATGGCTCAAGAGTAATGGCCTTAAGTAAACTCATCAGAAATTTTAAACTTGCTTAGTTTAATTGTTATTAAATTACTGTACTGAGTAAAATTATCATAATCTTATGGACATCTTGCACTAAACAATTTAGAAACTTTCAAATTCTGCAAGAACAATCAAAATCCAACCGCTAGATCAAAAGATACTGAGGGCAATGGCCTTGGACATGATTACAAGTGCTGTTTTTAGAAAACGAGAAAAGAAGTTCAGGAACACAGTGAGCATTTATATTCAACTGAAAAAGGTGTAAATCAGCGCAATAATGATGCTAGAAGCCACCTGGAGTATAGTTGTCACCATTCTTCTTCTTGCACTTTCTTTTCATTGCACACCTGAAATTTCTATACTTCAGATCGGCATACAGTGTTATAACTGCGCTCTAATAACGTGCGCGGCAGTCTTCTGCGAGGCACGATTCATTTTCAATTTCACGTAATCTTGATATGTCTCTGTGTACCCCCCATGCACTTCCGTGAAATATTTAGGGTGAAAAAGATGTCATTCAACGCAGTTTATCCGTTTCCTGTCCTCATTACCATACGAACTGCGAGCACGTTAATCTCCAGCGGGCCACACACCGAATCCCCCCTGCTTATGTCTAGCTGCGCGATGGCGACAACAATGAAGATGACGGATTTGCTCGAGAAGCACCCTGCAAGCGAGTGAAGAAGACGATGATCTTGACGGCCCTTAGAGCGCCTCAACGAGTATTACTGTAAACCGTATTCGTAAATAAACCGCCTGTATTTTATAAATTATAACCCGCGACACTGGTGGAGCTGTTGTGTACCATCACTTTGTGGGATAACATACCTTTAATGTTTCCGCACTGAATGTTCTACTACAACTGACCCTCAATCGGGGCACAAACACGGTTTTCTTGCTTCTTTCGGGGGAGAGTGTTCTTATTGCCGGCCCCCGTGTTTGGAGGCATTGCCGCGACGCGCAGGCATAGAAGGGGCGCAGAAGTGGCGCCGCACCGTTTTGGCACACCACCCACACTACACAGATAGGAGCCGTCAGGGTTGAAGAGGTTTGGGGACCTGCACCTGGCGTCCAAGGTGGGTAGTGTAGGGTGTGAGCCTAGGCGTTGCAGGCTTTTGTCGGCGAATCACGGGGGGCGTGCGGGGGTTGGTAGGCTCCTGAGAAAGGATGTATGATGGCTTTAGGCGATCGATGAAAACGCGTACATCTTTTCAACTGATTTGCAGGGTGAATGTTTTGTTGTCGCGACAGATGACTTTGTAAGGTCCGGAGTACGGCGGCTGGAAAGGTGTGCATACGATGTCGTTGCAGAGGAAGGCATGCAAGCATGTTGCCATGTCCTTAAACACGAAGAGGGTCGGCTTGGTGTGGCGAGCCGCTGGTGAGGGCTTCGGTTGTAACAGTTGGTAGCTTGACAGCCGAAACACGAGAGAGTGCATCGGCGACCACGTTTTCCTTTCCGCTCATGTGGTGGATATCTGTGGTGAAAATTGAGCAATGAAGAACAGCTGGTTCTGCTGGACCGGTGGAAGTTTTTCGCGGCACTGGGAGAAGGCTTAAGTGATACGTTTATGGTCGGTGTATATGGTGCAGTGCTGTGCCTCAAGGACGTGGCGAAAGTATTGGACTGCTTCGTAGATGGCAAGGAGCTCTTTGTAGTAGGCTGGCCAGGTCGTCTCCACAGGGGGCGAGGACGCATCGCCGATGCTGCCGGAAGGCAAGAGCGGCTTCGGGGAAGAGAGTTTCTTCTAGAAGAACGCCAAAGGGCGCCAGCTGTTGCCCACACGCTGCATGAGAGAGGTTCCGACGGCGGTGCAAGAGGCATCTGTGAAAAGACCCAGGGGCGCCTCTGGCTTGAGATGGGAGAGTAGCATAGCGTTGCAGAGAGCAGTTTTGCAGTCTTCGAACGCTTGCGTTAAGGCTGGGGTCCAAGTGACAGGATGGTTGCCGTGTTGGCCGGCCAACGCATCATGGAGCCTGATATGTCAACGCCTGATATGTGGCCGCTTTAGGCACAAAGCGCCTGTAAAAGTTGAACATGCCCAGGAAACGGCGGAGGTCTTTCGCTGTGGCAGGCAGGACGAAATTTTGAAGCGCCAGCATGCAGTCAGGCAAAGGTCTAGTTCCTTCTGAAGAGATTTCGTGGCCAAGAAACGTGACGACGGGGGCGCCAAGCGTGCTCTTCTGAAGGTTTATGAGTAAGCATGTTCGTCGAGACGCTGAAACAGTTGACGAAGGTGCTGGCGATGTTCCGTTTCGTTGCGGCAGAAGATCAAGATGTTTTCTAGGTAGACGAAACAGAAGTCTAGGCCGCGGACGTCGTCGATGAAACTTTGAAAGGTTTGCCCCGCTTTGCGGAGACCAAAACTCATTAAAGGGAATTCGAATAGGCCGAAAGGCGTGATAATTGTGGTCTTTGGGATGTCATCCGCGTTTACAGGAATTTGTGTGTAGGCCTTTACGAGGTCCACCACTGAGAAGATAGTGCAGCTGTCTAAGCGGTGAGCAAACTCCTGTATATGACGGACGGGGTACCTGTCGGGGACGGTGCGGCGTTGAGGGCACAATAATCTCCAAGGGGCGCCAGCCATTGGTCTTCTTTGGTACCAGATGAAGCGGTGAGGCGTAAGGTTCCTTTGAGCGGCAGGCAGTACCTTCGCAGGAGTATGGCTTCGAATTCGGCCTGTGCGATTTGTAGGCGGTCCGGGGCTAGCCGACGGGCGCGGCATGAGACCGGGGGGGCCGGGAGAAGTACGAATGTGGTGCACGGTTGAGTGGCGCACTTCTCGCGGACGCCCGCTAGGTCGAGTCAGGTCGTGGAATTCTGCGAGGATGTCATGGTATGGCGACTGGTTCCCAATGGTGAGTGCCTTGACGTTAGGCTGTTGGGTGGTTGTACGTTGGCCCGGTGTGGAGAGGCCTGTTGTAGCGTCGATAAGTTGGTCATATCGGCAGTCAGGTAGAAGATTGTAGTTGGCCAAGAAGTCGGACCCGATGATCGGTTCTGCGACGTCGGCGATGACGAAATTCCATGGAAAATCTCAACACAGGTTTTTGAAGTTGATGTGAAGGCGGAGCGAGCCATAGGTCTTGATGGTCAAATGGTTCGCCGCGCTGAGCTCAAAGGACGCACAAAGCCGCTTATCACGCAGGAAGGTTCGGGGAAAGCAACAGATGCCGGAGCCACAGTCGACCAGGAACTGCCGCTTTGTGACTTGATCAGTGATAAATATGCGTTGACTTCTAAGTTGGCAGCCTGTGACCGTCTCTACGAGCTGCCGTTGAAGTTTTCCTAACGTGCAGCTGAGCAACGTGATTGACATTTTCGGGCTTTGTCCCCGAAGCGGCCATGATAGTAGCAGGAGCCATTATCATTTCCCTGTGATGAAACGGCGTTGTTGTCTTAGCTTTGGGAGCGTTTTTGTAGACACAGCTTCGGGCTTTGATCCAGCTGCCTTTGAATCGAGTCCAGCTGACGGGTGATTTGGTCGACACAGCGCGCGAGCTCGCTGCTGGACTGTCGGGTGTCAACGGCGTTGACGGTGAGAGACGATGCTGGCAACGGAATCTCGACGACTTGATCGGCGATGTGAGAGAGCTGGTTCTCCGGCAGATTTGGCTGCACCTGGAGGATGGCCTGTGCATGTGAGGGTAGACGCTGAAGCCAGATGATACGAAGTAGGGAGTCGTCGACTGGGGTGCTGCCCAAGAGGTCACACAGTAACGCAGAAGCTGCGATGGCTTGCGGTCACCGAGTTCTTCGTGATGGAGTAGGTGACCCACCTTCTCGTCTTGTGATGGTGAAAGCTGGCAGGTCAGTTCCCTCTTCAGGTGTAGGTAACGGTCATCAGCCGGGGGGATTCGCAAGTATATCGTGAACCTCAGCCGCATAGCGAGAGTCTAGATGGGCGACAACGTAGTCATAGCGCGTCCAGTCCTGGGTGATGCGTGCCGTGGAAAACTGCGCCTCGACTTGAGCGAACCACACGTCAAGCGCCTCTGCCCACAACGGTGGAAGTTTGACGGCGACGCAACAGACGTCCCTGTCGGTGGCGGCCGCTGCAATGGAGGCGCCCGAGATTGCAGGGATTGCTGGAGCGAAGTTTTGGGAGGCGTGGCCCAAGTGGGGCGGTGCACTGTCGTTGGACGACAGCGCTTCATTTTCATTGCGCTGCTGCTGTTCCCGGAGCTGCTGCTCTTGGTTCTGGATCACTTGCTGCTGGGCCTGCAGTTGTTGTCGCAGTTGTTGTACTTGTTGTTGAAGGGCAGCAAGGGTTTCCTTGTCGGCCATGGCGGTGCGGTACGTTCGTTTTCCGGGTCACCAGATGTGGGATAACATAACTTTAATGTTTCCGCACTGAAGGTTCTACTACAGCTGCCCCTCAATCGGGGCACACAGACAGTTTTCTTGCTTCTTTCGGGCGAGAGTGTGCTTATCACCAACGCCCGTTTTTGGAGGCATTGCCGCGATGCACAGGCGTAGAAGCTGCGCAGAAGCGGCACCTAACTGTTTCGCCACAACTTCATGATCGCACACCTGTGCGTAGCCCTGAATCCAGCCCTACGAGACAGCCTAGCGTGCAGACGCCTGTGCAACGTTCAAGTCGTCGCCTTCAAGGTCTTGGACTAGAATTTGGCCTTTCAGAAGGGCCAACACTTTCGCCAGCCACCCCTGCTCAAGAAAGGAGTCCTGTATAGGTTATGGTGCAGAATGTGCACATTGCTGAACTGTTTCATGGCCGCTTAAACGAAGATGCACAAGACTGGCTTGAGCAGTTTGAATGGGTAGGTAAGTCGAACCACAGGAGTCTTGAGAAACTTTTCCACAAATACTTTGCCCATGAAGACGGTGCGAAGATCTGTTTTATCAACCGCGAGGCAAGTTTGACGACATGGGAGGAGTTTGGCCGTCAGTTACTTGACACCTTTCGTAATGTGGACCGACGTGAAAACCCACAACGCCTTCTACATGCACACATCCAACAGTTGCATGAAAGCATCGCCATGTTTACTGAGGATATGCTGCGTTTGTGCCACCGTGCGGACCCCAACATGTCTTAGTCTAAAAAGCTAAGCCATTTCATGAGGGGCTTCAGAGAGCAGCTGTTTGTTGGTCTTGTGCGCAATCCCCCAATAACAGTGGTCGAGTTCATCACGGAGGCCAGCGCAATAGAGCCTGTGCTGCAGCAACGGTACCGCCAGTCTGATCGCCCGGCCACCCGCTCAGCTGCAGGTGCCGCCGCAATTACCGCAAACGATGAGTTTTCTCTCAACCACCTAGTGCAATAGATAGTGCGGAAGGAGATTGCGATGTAGAATGCAAGGTGCACATTGCCGTCACAGGCACCCCCAGAGCGGGAGTCCTCGGTTGCCTCCGTCGCTCAAGTCGTTCGCCCTGATCTTCAACAAGCGTTTGCCTCTCAAGAGCAATATTCCACTCGGCCGTACCATCTGAACTCGTATAAGTATGCAGACGCTGTGTAATCCATTGGCTCTAAAGGCATCCTACCAGCCGAACGGATACAGCTATACAGGTGCTGTTCATCGACCTACGCCCTTGCCAGCGCCGCAGTACCTCGAACCATATCCTGTGGCTGCCTGGGCGCAGTAGGATTCTCTAAGGCGACTCTATATGTGAAATACCGACACATGGTGCACTGCAGATCGCCGACATCTGTGCTACAATTGTGGAGGGCCAGGGCACATTCACCATTTTTGCCCACATTGCTGAGCTGAATACCGCAGGAGTGTACCTGCCGCTACGCGTCGACAGTTCAACGAAAGCCGTGCCCCCCCTGACAACAATCAGGCTGGCCGACGACACTGCTCTGCTACCTTCCAAACGCCCTCACCATCTGTGGCTCGTTTTGCTTCACCATGCCGCCGTAGTTTTGCTACACGCCGGGCGAAGTCGGTCTCCCAGCGGGGAAACTAAAAGCAGCGACCTCTTGGGGGAAGGTTGCAAGCCATCGAATTGCCGGAAAACCACCACTGCTGCCAAAACACGTTAGCGCCGACGATAAAGATTCTGCCGAGAAAACTGTTACTGCCGACCTCGCTGTGACGATTGATGGCTTCAAAGTGACGGCATTAGTCAATACTGGTGCAGACTTTTGGATCACGAGTGAACGATTGGTAGACAAACTAAAGTCGGGACGAAATGAATGGGCCCTTATATACAAAATCCTAGAGGCCAGATAATGACACCCAGAGGAAAATGTACAGCACGACTCACGATCAACAATGTGGCTTTTGTAGCCACATTCCTGATCCTACCAGAGCGCTGCAAACCTATGATACTGGGAATGGACTTTTCAAGAGAGTACGGTGCTGTGGTCAACATACCTGATGGTATGATGACATTCGTCGCTGACAAGCCTGTGACCCATGACCCAGACCAAGAACCCAGGGCGTTACGTGTGGTCGACGACAACGTCTGCGTGCCACCCCTATCATGTAGTATTGTTTCCATGTGTTGTGGCGTGCACTGTGATGAATACGCCATAGTCGAATGCAACTGCCCTGAGCGCTGGCACATCAGTAAACGCGCTGCTGTGGTATACCTTGAGGAGCTCGACTACTCTCATAACTGTCTTGCTATGCAAGGGGAAGCCACGGCTGATTCAGCACTACGTACACCACCAGTCGACATTTGTCCAAGCTTAATACCAACTAAAAAAATGCTGTCTTATGGAGCTGCTCAACCACTTCAAGGACTGCTTCTCTTAGACCTTATGGGTGGGTCAAATGCCTCTGACTAAATGTCACATCATTACAGAAGACACAGCAAGACGGGTTTGACAGAACCCATATTGCATCGCTTAGAAAGAATGTGAGGTAATCTAGCAGCAAGTCAAGAAGATGCTAGAGGATGATGTAATCCAACCATCAAAAAGTCCTTGGAAATTACCGGGGGTACTCCCGAAAAAAAAAATAGCAGCTTGCATTTCTGCATCGATTACCATAAGCTGAACGGCGTTATGAAGAAAGACGTTTATCCATTACCATGGATCGATGACTCATTGGACAGGCTATGGCATGCCCGCTACTTCTCGTCAATGGACCTTAAAAGTTAATACTGTCAAATAGAAGTAGATGAATGCAACCGAGAAAAGACTGCCTTTGTGATGCCAGATGGGCTTTATGAATTCAAAAGTATTCCCTTTCAATTTACCCTCAGCCCCAGCCACGTTTCAAAGACTCATCGATACCGTTCTGTATGGTCTCAAATGAAAAACATGCCTTGTGTACCTTTACAGCGTGATTGTTCTTTCGGCCCCGTTTGAAGAACATATAAAGTGGCTACTATCTGTTCTTCAAGCCATACAGTGACCAGGACTCGCACTAAAACCGGAAAAATGTCACTTCGGCTTTGAAGAACTCCCGTTACTGGGACATCTTGTCAGTCATGAAGGTGTGAGGCCTGACCCAGATAAAACTGCAGCTGTCGCCAAGTTCACAAGTCCTGTTGATCAGAAGATGGTCAGGCGTTTCCTGGGTCGCTGGGTCTACTACCGACAATTTATAGCAGACTTAGCGCACAACGACTCTCTGCTCACCCTCCTTACAAGGGAAGACGTTGCATTTGTATGGGCTGAAAAGCAAGAAGCTTCGTTCCACGAGTTGCGGCACTGTCTACAAACTTCACCCCTTCTCACTTACTTTGACGAGGATGCACCAGCAACCATCCATACAGATGCCAGCAATGAAGGCCTAAGTGCTGTTCTAGTCCAGTGGAAAGATGGTGTGGAAAAAGTAGTTGCCTACGCTAACAGAACGTTGACACGCGCCAAGTTCAACTACTCAACAACAAAGAAGGAGTGTCTGGCTGTCGTTTGGGCAGTCGCGAAGTTCTGCCCATACTTGTAGGACCATGCTTTCCAAGCCGTAAGCGACCACCACTCTCTTTGTTGGTTGACCAACATGAAAAACCAATTTGGACGTTTGGCACGATGGAGCTTACAGCTCCAAGAGTACAACACGACTGTAGTTTACAAGTCTCGAAGGCAACACTCGGACACCAACTGCTTGTCAAGGTCACCGATTGAATCACCGGCTATGGAGGATGACAAATCTACAGGTTTTTAGGAGTCATTGTTGCAGCTATCATTTCTCGGCAACGACAAGATGATTGGAAGCTCTACTCTCATACAATTCTTGAATGGACAAGCCGTCAATGTACCAAGAGTCTTTTTGAGGAACTTAGTATCATTCTTTTAACAGGAAGGAATTCTCTACAAAAAGAATTTCTCATCAACAGGTAGTAGCTATCTGCAGGTAGTTCCTGAAACTCTCCGCAGTGAAACTTTGCAAGCCTGCGATGACGAAGCCACTGCAAGCCACCCCGGTTTCACAAGAAGATTGACATGCGTCAAAGAAAAATACTACTGGCCAAGAAGTACCGGTGAAAGATTACGTCTGAACAAGCATTGACTGTCAGCGGCGCAAGGTACGACCTGTCAACACGCTGGACTATTGTATCCTGTGTCAGTGCCAGAAATTTTGTTTGCTGAAATCGGAAAGGATCTGCTGGGCGAATTTCTAACATTGGACAGCGGCAACAAATGGGTTACAGTGATGACAAACAGACTACCTCACCCGATATGCGGATCCAAGGCGATTCCGAGTGGCACTGCAGCTGAAGCGGCCCGGTTTTTCATTTTGAACATTGTCCTGAGACATGGCGCTCTGGCTGCCGTCATAACAAAGGTACCACGTTTACAGCACATAAAAAGACAACAGCTTACCACCCACAAACGAATGGACTTACAAAAGAACTTCCAAGACAATCACTGACACACTTTGCACGTACGTCGACATGAAACACAACAATTGGGAACGAATGTTGCCATACATCATATTCGCCTATAATCAGCGCACCAGGAAACAACGAAAATGATGCTGTTCGCTCTAATTCATGGAAGAGAAGTTACTACAATGCTTGACGCCATGCTGCCTTGTGATTGCAATCATTCAGAGACAGACGCCGCAGATTTCACTGAGAGTGCCGAGGAAGCAAGGCAGCTTGCCCGCGCCAGAATAATAAACCTGCAGCAACTTGATGCCCAGCATTTGCCATCGGTTCGTCGCTTTTCAACCAAGGGAGAGAGCCTGGGTTTGGCTCCCTGTATGACAGCGAGGCCTCTCGGAGAAACTCCTACACCGACACTTTGAACACTACCGTGTGTTGCGCCGTCTTAGCCACGTGACATACTGAACCTTCACAAAAGCATCGTTATATTTTTTAGTATGTTTCACTGCAGCAAGCTCTAGTGTTGCGACAAACTGGCCATTTTTGCTCTATTCCGGGCTAAACGAATTGACTCACGAAAGCGCTGGTTCAAGCGTGTGCCGCAGAGGTAAAGGCTTTAATTAATGCCGTTCCGAACCCAAAAGTAGGAAAAAATCGGACGAAGATTTCCAGCATAGAAAATTTTAAATGTTTTTATACATTGGCATCTGAAGAACAAATTAGCAATTCTGAATTCAAGGGGAGCATGACCTTTTCTGCTAAATAAATTGGGCCTCCACAGAAGTTGAAAGAGGGCAGGCTGAGAAAATAGCACAATTTCCTTTTGCATGTGAACGTTTGGACCCCACATTGGTTGTACCAAATCATGTAAATAAATAAAATCTGGTTGCTGCCCTGCCTCATATTTGATAAAAAAACTTACGAACACCATCTCTCCA